GAACAATTGTGTTGTTTTTTGTATACATAATATATTTATACGATCAATAGAACCAGACCAGAGGACAAACCCGCACGAGAATAGAATTGCTTAACTAAGGAGTTTCCAACTCTTTCAATCTTATTCAAGGCTGCAAACACCGAGCACCAATTTTGAACAAGGTAAAATGATTCCAATTTTAAACTTGGACGATTAAAAAGAGTTTAAAAAAAAACAAGCTGCAAAAGTTATGAACGCCAGACTAAAGCCTTGTGCACATTACGCCTGCCCGGGGCTTGGGCCACACTGCTGCACAAATCCTACATATTTCCATACACATCTGCAAGCTTCGCCGCGTCTGTGCCGTATATAAAATGAAGGTAAACGATCCAGATGGATTTTCATGACGAAAACTAGTTTGGTGTGTGGTCCACTAAAGCGAAAAATTGCACTTTCAACGCGCAGAACATAATAAATGGCGTACAAAAAAATTGTGTCTATATATTAAGCATATTTTCTAATAAAATGAAGTGAATAGCATTAAAGCCAAAACCACTGAGAACACTACCACAAATTCAATGGGAACTTGTCACGCTACACTACCGCTACGGCGTAGCTCATACTGCTACGACGGCTACGATAGCGCGTAGTCAACTTTACTACGCTTGGAATTATAGCTACTTTTAAAACTTTAATAATAACTGAGTAAATTAAACTTATAATACACCATTTTGTATTTAGCTCACCAAAAGCTGATTACATTGATTCAATACTGAGTTATATAATATAATCCATTATTGAGATTATTGTATCAATCTTTTATAGGCAGGCACATTTCATAAAGACGATAATAAAATAAAATTCAGTTTATACTTTTACTATGTGTTATTTTTTAAGGCCTGTACGTTATACAAGTGGCGTAATGTACGTACCCATGTATCTCTTAAATACCATTTACAAATTCAATCAAATCTATATAGTTATTAGACATTATTGCTGCAATTAAAGTCACATTCATCTCACCATTTCTTTAATACATTTTATTCCTAAACAAAAAAATTAATACGTGGTACATATGTATAGTTTTATATTTTGATCATTGCATCGCTCTTTCGGCTTGGGTGTCGTTTAATACAAGTACAATGCATAAAACTAAAGAATGATTAGCCTGTAACCACTCACTGCCAATTAACTGGGACGATTATCATCTTCTAGTTAGTATATACATATATGTATGAACAAGCAACCCTTCCCAACTTCGCAAGATGCAGTGCTGATACTAAATTTCTCCACTATTTAATGGATATATACACATAAACCCTCCTCTTCAATCACTCTATGCGAAGATTTAAAGAAATATAGGGACATATTTAAATTAAAAAGACAACCTTTTGGATGGAGACAGTGATCAGGAATCGGGAAATGGAGTATAACATAATATTAGTATAGAGACAGTTTATTCAAGGTTCATACAAGAGTAACTTCTCAAAGACGCAATATAAGGACGAGTACAGACAATATCATTGGTTTATTTTACGAAATCGTTATTGGATAAAAGTTTTCCGTTATCCATCGGGAAAATAAAGTATGTAGGTACGACAACGTACAAGAGAACGATCGCAGTAAGTAGAGCGGAAAATATAATATTTTTCACTTTCATTCGATGCTTTTATTTGCATCGGACTGTGTGGCTGTGAGAGGCGGGATACACACTTATGTTTTTATCGATATCATAGCTATTATGTATGCATTTCTTGTCTGCAATGTTCCATATTTGGTATGTTGCACTTTTTACTAAAGCGACTTAGTTGAGGTGGTTAGTAAGGAAAGACGACTTTTTTGTCAGGGGAAGATCATCAAATTACTTCTCCCGCCCAGGGTGAGGCGAAAGGAAGTGACTCTTTCTGACTAAAACCCCTCCGTTCCTTCTCCTGCTCTAGGCCAAGTCCAGTCATTACGCTTGCCCCGCAACCCCGGCTAAACATCAGCCCTGTAGTGTACCGTTCATGGTGGTTTATAGACTCTTTGAGGCGCGCGTGGAACGCTACGCGCCGTACGCTCGGGTCTGGTTCTGGTTGGGCGGCGATCTACCCTTAGGTACTCGCCGTCGGCAGACCCGTGCGTAAGGAAGGGCGATGATTTCTAGTTTGGATATTTTATTGTTGTACATTGCTTTATTGGTCACGCAGTTCGCGTCTCAAGCTGAGACCTTATGTTACGTTCTTAAAAGAAAAACTCTTAACATTGAAAAACATCTGTTCCGTGATTGAACCGATTTGTAGTAATACTGGCTTTCGAAAGTAAAAACTCAAAGGTATATAAAGAGTTCAAAGAAGTATTTGATCGAAAGCATTATTTATGATATATTTAATTAGTTCGTATAAGATACAATCGCATGAAAACGGTCTACGTTCTCAATATCTTTTCTTTTTATCGATAAAGGCTCATAAGAGTATACCAAGTCGTCAATTATACAGGTTTCAACCTCTGAATATCCTTACTCTTATAATAGAAAAAGGCTAAGTTGCCAAGTACCCTAGTCACGGGCGTATCTAAGTGTGTATAATAGTCTACATAGCGCTTACAAAAGATTGTAGAAGTCTTCGAAATATCGCTGCCAATTTTTTTATGTGTAAATTATTTATGTAATACCTATGTAGTTCAATCTAATAAAATGATTTGGCACTAGTATATTATTTTATTAAAAGTAAGTAAACGAGCACTCTGTTCATCTGGTGATAAGCAATCAACGTCGCCTGTGACCAAAACACCAAAGGAGTCATAGGTTAGCGGAGTCAGTGTTGTGTTTCGCCGTGTGAGTGAGGTTACCGGAGGCCCAATCCTTCCCCTCCCCCAATCCCTCCTCAATCCCTAAATCTCCAAATCCCTAATCCCTAAAAGGTCGGCAACGCACTCGTAACTTCTCCGTTGCGAGTGTCCACGGGCGGCGCTGATTGCTTACCATCAGGTAATCCGTCGGCTCGTTTGCCGAACATTGCCTTTTATTAAGTTGAATTACACTGGCAAATTCCGCAACCTGGTAACGATTTATACGGTACGATTATATTTTTTTTTATTTTATGAAGACCTGTGCTTCTCTGGCTTTATTGCTAACTAGCGAGCCGGGTGGCTCGTACGGGTGCAATTATGTCGCTAAATTTCTCCATTATTTAATGGGTGTTACTATACATATAAATCTTCCTCTTCGATCGCGCTATCGAGAAAAGGACTTTGTTTTATACTAGGTATGTAGTACCAAGGTAATTTTTACCTAGGATACCTTAGTTTTTTTTTTCAATTTAATCTAATGATTTTATTCATTCTTACTACTGTTAACCCTACAGGACATCAAAATACTGAATATTATTCGGAACGCTGTCCAAAAAGTTTTAAATCAAATCAAAAGCGAATCTAAACTTTTGGGCGACAGCAAGCGTTAATAAAACCGACTGACAATCCCTGTAACTTCTACAATACGTATTTTGTTCTTATTGTAAGCGAATTTGAGTATAATTATAGATGCGTTTGTCACCTAAATAGCAACAGAGCTTCGAATTACTTAAATACAAAAGTAAGAATCTAGAAGACTAGACACCTATTTGATAATCACACCTTCTACGTATTCAACTTTTTTATACGGCGATTTGATGCGACTGCAAACGAGCAGATGGATAACGGTAAGCAATCGACGCTAACATCCCCAACGCCAGAGTTACAAGTGCGTTGTCAGATTTTAGGGATAAGGGGTTTTTCCAAAACCCCTTTTTCTTCCCAAAACCCCTTTTTCTTACCATAACCCCTTTTTCTTCCCAAAACCCCTTTTTTCTTGCCATAACCCCTTTTACTTCCCTAAACCCCTTTTTTTTTCCCAAAACCCCTTTTTCTTGGAAGTTTTGGGCCTTTAGTAGCGTTGTGTTTCACATAACGAAAAAATATAAAAAATTAAATGCCGACGCTATTAAAACAGCATATTTTTTATTAAATATAGCCATTTAGTAAACGTCATAAGCTTACCGTAACTCGGGAAGATGGCTGACGTCAAATTGCTCACATTTGCATACGCAATTCGGAGTTAAGTCGCAGCTTTCAGAACGTTCTAGTGGGAGACCAAAGTGGAGAAGGCCGAGTGTTAAAATCTACAGAATTTACATAGTTGTACTATTTTTCTATTTTAACAATCCTTTTTTTGTTTAAAATCAAATAACACTTAAATGTGATTATTTTAAAAGCTAATGGACAAGTTATTTTACATAAGTGCTCAATCTAACTGCCTAGTTTTCTTGTACACTGAGTAGTTTATTTATAAATATTTTGTACAACGCAAAAATATTGTAAGATAAAATCTGTAGGAGAAAAAAGGTTAATTTTTCCAATTAAGCTCCAAGTAGATATATTTTATAGCACTTGCAATTCCATAAACTTCGATTCCATAAACAGTTAACTTAAACATATCTACATTTATGACGCTTTGAAAACGTGAAACTATACATAATAATGAGTATAATACATATGTTAACTTGGTTTGTGGTTTAGTTGCTTCTATGGAATTAAGTAGGTACCCTGAATGTCCCTTATACATATTTGACGCTGACTGTATCACAAGCTTCGTGAGTATGAATGCCGTAAAAACGATGCAGTGCTGCACTCTTAACTCAAATTACTCCAAACTTCAAAATAGGTACTCATTTCTTTCAAATTTTGAATATAAACCTGCCGATAGATGGCGTTACTGTAAAATTGTTTGTTCAACTGAAAAGTAGTATATAAAATAAGTAATTATTTAGCGAAATTAATAATAGTTTACAGTTTTTAATTCAAATAATGAATTATTTTCCAACACATAACATTAAAGTTTTAGAACCGCTAAAAGAATGGAACGTTGTTTGGCTCTTCAGATGACAACGTCAAAGTCAAAAAGTCGCCGAGTTTGGTATTGAGAATTTGTGATTTTGTTGTGTTTGTACGATTGTGTTTAAACCAAACGAGTTGGTAATTTGATTGTGAATTGAATATCATATCACTTCAAACACTTTCCAAAATGAATAACACTACGATCAACGTGGATCAGTTGAACTCTGCGCTGAACTCTCTCAGAGTGCTTCGTTCCAGTGTCAGTCATGTTTTTGAAACACTTTCCAATGGATTACGAGCCGACCACGGGGAGGACGGCAAAGATAAGTTCCTTTTAGAGCTTCAGGAACTTCTTAATAACGTGAACATCAATTTAAGAGACTTGGAACAAACTGTAAATGGGCTCCCAATACCCACAGCTCCTTTTAACTTGGGTACGACGACTTACCTCAGCCAAGAAACAACACAAGATCGGCAAGCGCTCTACACACAGCTAGTCAACAGTTACAAGTGGACTGACAAAATTCACGAGTATAGTTCTTTCGCACACACGCTTTTAAGTCAAAACTCACTCAAACGGTCGTACATAAACTCTGGAAGTACAAAACGCCGTGGAAAACTGCAAAGTAATCACAATGTCGCGCCTCTATTAGTCGACAACGTAATTAACAACATCGACAGATCATACAGTGACATGAAAATAACCATATCTCGCCCATTTGCTAGCAATGCTGTTGTACAGATCAACCTTGGTCATGTATTAAAAGCTATAGTTGCTTTCAAAGGGCTTTTGATGGAGTGGGTTATGGTGAAGGGCTATGGTGAATCAATGGACCTGTGGGCTGAGTCAAGGCACCATGTGTTTAGAAAAGTCACTGAAAATGCTCATGCTGCTATGTTACACTTCTACTCTCCAACATTACCAGAACTGGCTGTCCGATCATTCATGACATGGCTACATAGCTATGTAAATCTGTTCAGCGAGCCCTGCAAGAGGTGTGGTGCTCATCTCCATCATACATCTCTGCTGCCTCCTGCATGGCGGGATTTTCGTACCCTGGAGCCATTCCACGACGAATGTAAACAATAGTCCACGTGGAATTGATTGGGAGAGCCCCCAAATTATTTTGGGGACTTTCCCTTTCAATGAATGAAAGTACAACGGACAATAAGACTGTTCTATATATTAAATATCTTGTGACTGGTGATAATGTGATGTAGTGTATATTGTTATTATGGTATTCACTCAAGCTTAGGTTCCAGTACTTCTATATTCATTTCAGAATTATGTGTCATGTTCTTATCATTATTATGTATAAGTTTTTATTATGAAATGTTTGTAAATAATACATCTTACAACTTTGTAAAATATTTCAGTAGTTATTGTAGTGTCCGTTACCCAGGCCAGATGTTGTCGACAATGGTCATTTGAATCTTATAGATAATTAGTTGTGCGGCTTCTGTAATTGTTGCGCACATTTTTAAATTTGTTGCGCTTATAGTTTTTTAATTATTTCACAAAAACATTTCCTGCTGGCGTAACGTTACCACAGCCAGACCTTTTTATTTCTAATGGGAATATTTAAATAAATATTAGCTATAAAATTAGTTGTCTAGATAAAGTAAATGTTGTGCCTTATTTTGTATTTGTTCTTTCTTCGGTTGCGAAGTTATTCGAGATTTTGCTGCGGTAACGTTTTTGGTTTTGCTAGATCTTTGAAATGGTTAAGCGGATTCTTATCATATTTTGTACACGACTTCCGAGGACTTAGTTTAAATTTGTTGTGCAATAACAAAACCAAAATAATGCATATTTTAAAGGTTTTTCATTAAATAGAAAAACACTTCAATTGGCCCCAGCACTCTCAATAAGAAGTCTAAAGACTTACTTTAAACGTAATTTTACAGCTTGTAACTGCCTTCAAATGTATGTGAAGTTTCATTAGTATCCCGTAAGTATTTAACAAGTTATGATGATATTCAGTTCTTCACGAGCACGGTCTTAATGCACGCGGTGTTATTTGGCCACTGGATTGGATATATGAACTGAATGTTATGTCAATAATTAGTTGTTTAGATCAGTTGTATATCAGTAAAATTTCAGCTCAATACATTGGATACTTAATGAGATAATACTATGAAAGTCATTAGGAAGTGAATGACGGTGGTAAGCCGACCAAGTTTAGGTGGTTACGAAAAAGCGAAAACGCAGAACATTGTACTATCTTTTAAAATGTATAGTATAATACACCTTACAATTTTGGTACAGACGCGTACACTGTTTAATAGCTATATAATAATAATATAAAAGAAAACATTATCTTCCAGTTCCACAAAATTATCAAAAATCACCGCTAGAGCATGCCGTTCGGTAGGACGCAGGAGGAGTGGGGTGAAGGGGTAATACATTGTTTGCATAACGCACTCAGTCTTGCCAGAAGGTTACTTTTGTAACCTTTTAGATGATTTTTGAACTGCATTTTGAAATAGAAATGACAAGGACGGGTGATGTTTAATCGGTTGCTAAGCAACACAAGTTTTTATAAGTAAGGAAGTAAAAGTTCAATTGAAATGATTATTTTACCTTTCAATAAAAAATCTTGAATAATCATGTAGTTTTTTTTTTAATTTTTGTACATCTCTGTACTAAATTTATAACACTATCCTACATATTTTAGAAGGTACCATAATGTTCTGCGTTTTCGCTTTTTCGTAACCACCTAAACTTGGTCGGCTTACCACCGTCATTCACTTCCTAATGACTTTCATAGTATTATCCAATGATGTATAAAACTATAGATACGTTGTCCGCGCTCTAAAATGACAACATAAAATGAAGGCAATTGACAACATCGCGCTTAGTTACGCACCAACCTGCCGCGCGACGCTACGTTTGTTTTTAATTTATTTTGTGTGTAAACCTGTGCGAAACACAAAGAAAGCATGTCGTGGTGTGTGTTCAGACGATGTACAAATTATACTCCAAAAGTTAAAGACAAAAAAAAAATGTGTCATTTCATGCGTAAGTTCACCAAACAACCTATTTTTATTTTATTTTTTTCGACGCCGGCGCCTGCCATCTTATGGCGGCCGGCGCATGAAGGTATAGTCACGTGCCGTCGGCATAACTGAAGATGTATATTTATCTCCCTCTAGCAAAGGCATTCCACTATACGATGTCATATTTTCTTTCCCTTTCTTTACTCGTAGAAGTAGTTATCTAGTATTTTCGCCGTTTTTAAGCGCCGCGATGTTGGTTCATGACGTGTCTATATATAATACGTCATTGGTATTATCTCATTAAGTATCCAATGTATTGAGCTGAAATTTTACTGATATACAACTGATCTAAACAACTAATTATTGACATAACATTCAGTTCATATATCCAATCCAGTGGCCAAATAACACCGCGTGCATTAAGACCGTGCTCGTGAAGAACTGAATATCATCATAACTTGTTAAATACTTAACGGGATACTAATGAAACTTCACATACATTTGAAGGCAGTTACAAGCTGTAAAATTACGTTTAAAGTAAGTCTTTAGACTTCTTATTGAGAGTGCTGGGGCCAATTGAAGTGTTTTTCTATTTAATGAAAAAACCTTTAAAATATGCATTATTTTGGTTTTGTTATTGCACAACAAATTTAAACTAAGTCCTCGGAAGTCGTGTACAAAACATGATAAGAATCCGCTTAACCATTTCAAAGATCTAGCAAAACCAAAAACGTTACCGCAGCAAAATCTCGAATAACTTCGCAACCGAAGAAAGAACAAATACAAAATAAGGCACAACATTTACTTTATCTAGACAACTAATTTTATAGCTAATATTTATTTAAATATTCCCATTAGAAATAAAAAGGTCTGGCTGTGGTAACGTTACGCCAGCAGGAAATGTTTTTGTGAAATAATTAAAAAACTATAAGCGCAACAAATTTAAAAATGTGCGCAACAATTACAGAAGCCGCACAACTAATTATCTATAAGATTCAAATGACCATTGTCGACAACATCTGGCCTGGGTAACGGACACGTTATTGTAATTAATCAATATTAATATGTAGGAAAGTTTTGTATCTATGTAGTAGTAACTTTGAATGATACATGCTTGATACAAATAAGAATAAATTATCTATAAATGACTAGAATAATAACTAAAATTATTCGATTCTCATAGATTTTGTACCTATCAAGTGAACATTCATATTATGTAAAATCATAATTGTATAGCAATTATACACTGAAAAATATGCCTGAAATAACTCTGTAACATCTAAGTATATGTATAGAATGCATATGTTGAATTTCCCTATGATATAGATACTTTATGAAGACTAGATTTTGTATTACCAACACTATTGAGCATTGTTGTAATTCTAGGCCGATTTTACACAATTTGATAAGTAATATTCATAACTGAACATTTGTTTGTATCACATTTCCTATAATTTATCATTTTAAAATAAAACATCCACATAATGTAACATAATATTTTATTTACTACTATTTACTAATAACAGTCTTAAATATGAATAAACTACGTAAATGGTCTGCAAATTGCAACAGAATGGTCTACACTACAAATAACTTTTAGAACAAATCCACCAATAGAGACTTTTAGTGGAAAGTGTTGGTCTTTACTGGAACCAAGGCCTAAGCAGCCTTGTCTGTTCCTACCCCACATGTATAAGTGTCCATCATTAGTTATAGCTGCTAAATGCCCTATACCACAAGCTACTTTCTCCACTCGAGCCTCTGTGTTAAACTCGTTTCGTCCAAACAAAGCACTAGGGATTTGCTTCGGATTCTTGGAGTGCTCCACATTGGGGCCGAGACCTAACAAACCAAAGCCCCAAACGAAGGCGTCACCTGCCTCTGTAAAAACAGTAAATATTTGACATAAATGCTTTTGAAATAGGCTATTAAAAAATAATTACGGAATATAATCAATAGACTCACCATTTACAATCAAGCAAAAGGAACCACCAGCTGCAATGTCGATTATCTTGCCCAAGCCGCGGGTAAACTCGCGTAAAGAGTATGACATGTTCACTTGTTGTGAACCAGACTTCATTGGAATCTGTCCATACTCTGAGTTGCCCCAACCAAATAATTCACCTTTATCTGTGGAAAAATAAATTTATTTATACTTTTTAAAACATTAAAAATTATGTTTTTAATGGAAAAATGTTTTAAATGGAAAAAATTTCAAATATTGCAACAATAAGTCGCGCATGCGACTAGAGAGATTAAAAGTCAGACTTGGTATTTAGTACTACTATATTTAAAAAATTATTCTTATATCACCACCTGACTACGACTTAAAAAAATAAGAAAATTCTTATCAATAAATAATTAACATGATCAGCGTACCTACCATTTAAAGCCAGTACACAATCAACAGTAGATGCAACCTTCACAATTTTCTCTGATGTAACATCACCCTTTACCTGGGCTGGTATAGCTTGGTTATCAAATGTACCCAGCCCAGTCTGGCCATCAGCCCCCCAACCACAAGCATACACCTTGCCACTCTCAGTTATGAATAGGCTGAAAAATAAAAGTTAAGAGGTTAATTTAATTTATAACTATTATCAATAGGATGCTTGTGTCAATTCATGATGGTAAAAAATATTTAAGTATGAAAAAAATATTCCAACGAAATATAAGATACAATATTTTTGGTCTTGGCTGTGCAAGACTCAACCTGTTGTTTGTCAAATAGTTATGTGAATGAAATCTCCCTGCCTTTTTTGAGGAGGGAAAATTATACAATGACTTCTCTCGCCTTGGGTATGGCGAAAGAGAGTTGTCAGACTTTTACTGACAAAAAAATAGCCCATTCCTTCTGCTCCAGGCCAAGGCCGTGGTACCTTATAAGGATCACCCGCAACCCTGCAAATGGCTGCCTAGATTTCTTTTTTTACCCCACCACCATCCCTAATATACACTAATAGATATTTCTTATAATGCACATACTCACGTGTGATCCTGCCCACAGCAGACACTGGTAATCTTCTCTTTGCCCAACTTCTTGATATTGTAGGAGACCATGCTTCCTCTGTACTCCTCATTTGGATTGATTTTTCGGCCACACTGGCCATATGCATTATTGCCTAAAGTAAATACTCCTTCATTATCTGTCAGTATAGCTGTATGAGCTCGGCCTGCATCTATGCCAATTATCTGAAAAATAGCAAATATGAACATAAAATACATATAGTAGGATTTTTTGACTAAAGAAGGATTATTACAGACTACTATTCATATATTGCTTAATATTCTGAATACCTTAGTTTCCAATGACTTGTAAGGTAGAAATATCGGTGCAGGACTGAGGAGTAGTTCCAAAGGATGGCCAATGCGAGGTGCATGGTAGCCTATTTGTGAGTCTGTGTTGATGCCTGTGCCAAAAACTTTATACTGCTCTTTTGTTTTGATGGATGCTACTGTGAAGCCATAACCTGCAGCAATGTGTTCTACCTGAAATTGTAATTCACCACCACATAGTATACTCCAATAAGCAACTTGACAATACTGAATCTAATTAATTCTTCAATATTTTGTACTTACATCAAATCTCTCTGCAAAACTTGATCTCATAGGATACCAGCATAGTGAAAAGTTATTTCTGTATTGTTTTCTGTTTCTATTTCCTCGAGGCATGTGAATACCTAATGCACCTGTCTCTGCAAGTCCCCATGAGTACATGTTGCGGTCCGACGCCTTACTTGTCGGGTACTGAAAAACTGTTGAAATTTTAAGAAATTAATAAATTAATAAGATGAAAAAACAAAGAAAATAAATGTTTTATTAATACACAGACAAAAAAAATACATTTGAATACAATAAAAATTACTTATTATTTCTTTTAAATCATTTAGCATCACCCGTGAGGTTGACTGGTAGAGAATGCCTTAGGGCATTAAGTCCGCCTTTGTATGTATTTTTTTATATGTACAAAAAGTGTTAAATAAATAAATAAATATACTTAAATGGAACTACTGTGTTAATAAATAAGCTAACTTATATATTAAAATAAAGAAGAAATAAATCCAGTTTTAATTTATCAATTAGCAACGCAAAAAAATAATAAATAAATATTGCAAAAGTACTTGGCAGAGATTCGTCCTCATCGTCCGGAATTTTCTTTTTTGTTGTAGCATAGTAGCGATTTTTAATCACATTCAGACACCTATTTCGTAACACTACTTTAACTTTATTCATTTTGTTATTATTTATAACATTTCAATAAAACTACTTCTAATTTTAGGTTATATTGCGGAAAATAAATACATTCGAATCGTGTGTTTTGAAAGTGGAAACGTCAAACTTCGAATGACGTTTAGCGTTCCATTCTTTTGTAACTTCTGATCAAAGAACAATAAATAGGTATGTACTTTAGGTCCTAACCAAAAATAGCATTTTAATGCCTATGTGAAGTATCTACTTACTTATTATAAATTCTTAGTACTATTGGAATAAATTGTTTTAATAAAACCACAAAATTATTACGCTCGGTACGTATTTCCACTCCTTACGTTTTGATTCAACATTTCTTTTTTCTTTCTTTTGCTGATACTTACGAAGCTATATACTTCAGTCTGTATATATGTATTGTATCTCTTTAAAATAATGTAAAAATACATAGGTACGCAACCGTTCTTCTCGGAACAGAGTAGGTAGTAACTTAGCGTACAACAACTATAAAGTATTACGTTGGTAGCCGGCTTTCATTTTCATCACCACAATGCCGTATGTAATTCCGTTTACATATAAACCTCATCCTTATGAAATTGTCAAATATTATGGTGAATTGTAGTAAAGATATACCTAACTAATAGGTTGCGTTGTTACGAGATTTGCACGACCAGTTTCAAGTCCCGACAGGAGCTCGTATTCATAAGCAGCATGAGCATGCTTCTTGGACAATTTCCTTGAATAGTTACCTGAAACAGCTTTTATTTATATTTGGAACTAGCTCATACCCACAGCTACACAATTTAATTATCCATCTTCACTTCTCACCCTACCTACCTATCCACCCTACCAAACACTACTTACCCTGCCTAACACCTACCTACCCTACCTTACCTATTATAACCTATCTTATGTCCGTCTCCCACGTCTTAGCTAGGTACCTCCCTAGCCCTACCAATATTCAGCCAAATCGGTTCAGCCGTTCTCGGGCTATTTAAATAGTGTAACTAACACGACTTTATTTTGTAATTTTAGATATGTATTATGTCAATGTATTTTTATTTCGTCAACCGTCAATTTAAGGTTCTGACCCTAAAACTAAAGAGGGAAGATTAATAAAAATGAAAACGCAAATTAAAAAACAATGGAAACAACACAATCACAATGTTTTGTTCCTGTAAACATTTATTTGGATAAGTTAAGTTTTACAATAAAATTTAGGTAATCTATTGTAATAATATCTTTTAAATGACATCAATTCTCACAAAATTCTTTAAAAGTTGTAAATGAAAGAACACATTTTCAAACATTTAACACCATGAACATGAATAGAGAGTTATACTGACATCAATTGTAATAATATTATATTACTTTATTTTGGATAGAAGGTTGGCACGCATCTGCGTATTTTGAAACAGGGCTTTGATGAGACTGCGGAGTTCTTCATTCTTGAAATGAACGGCCAAGGGACCAGTGCCATCCTTCCAGTGGTTTTCTATATCCTTGAGTGACCCGCCTAATATGAAGATCAACTCTTGGAGCTTGATCCAGGATTTCACATGTTCTTCAATGTCCGCCGGAGCCTGGGAATCAATTATTTCATTTAAACATCAAATTCATACAAAATGTATGAGATCGATAATTATTTTTCTTAACACACATTAAAGTCTTACATGGTGCAACTCCGAGAGCGCGTTTTAATGAATTTAGGTCACCCGAGGTAAGACCTATACTCTTCTACTATATCTGTAGTCTATTGTTATCAAAAAATTACCTGGAAAAGTTGTGGAGCTTTTTGCACAACTATGGTGTACATCTCAGTCAATTGTGTAGCCATTTCCATGGAAATATCCTCTACGGTGCACACGCGGTGGATCAGCTCGTCTAAGAACATGTTGACAAGGGTTGCCATAAGTCTGAAAAATAATACACCCATTTTTTACTTTTTTATTGTTTAAGGACGTTATTGTGTATCTCGGCTGGTGGTTAACGATAATCTGACCAATAATTTATTAAGTAGAATAATGTAACGAATATTCACTAGGGCTTTGAAGACCCTTAGGTTATACTTAATTAGTAATTTGGAAACATTTTTCGACCACTACACAATAAAATTAGTATTATAATAGTAGTACTTGTGAATCAAGTTTTTGAAGGGTGACCTGAGGGGTTTAATTTAGTTGTTCAACTTCCACGTGGGACGAATTATTGTTGAGACTATCGATTTTCGAAAAATTACCTGGTGAAAACATTTTTTGGAAATACTCCGATCCAGACATTCTTCAATAAATGTAGTTGACGAAGGCACTGTCGGATTGCCGCCTCCGCGTTATCACTCAACACGTCTTTCACAATGATGCAGTTGAGATCTGTACAGTAATTAAACAATAGTTTGAAAATGTTTTTTTTTTTAAAAGAAGGTAATTAATCTGTTTATGTATGTAAAATTTGTACTACAAGTTATCAATATAATATCCAGAGTAAAGAATAAGATTTGTGTAATATTTTTTTAACAATTGGCGCTGCCCAATTATTTACTTCAATAGAATTGGGGATTGCTAGGGATTTAAAGATTTTGGATTATTTATTTTTCACTCGCATCAAAAATTGCCATTGATGTCGCTTATAACGTTTCTAACAAGTATCTTTTTCTGCAAATATACCTTATAATGAAAAAAACCGTATACTGACCGGAAGACCTAATGTTGTCGAGAATCTGTTTCCTTTGTTGTTGCATGTGTATCGTGAGGTGCTTGTAACCAAGATCGCGCATTTTCTGCACCAAATCAACAAAACCGATGGGATAGTCCAACTCTCGTCCCTCCATGAGCGTCAGCCATTTGTCACCAAATATCTGAAGATTGTGCGCCAGGAACATACAGTTGTTGTGGAATAATGCTGAAATGAGACAAACATAAATTGAGATAACAAAATTCGTTTTATACTGAGCCATTCCAAATAATATTACGTAATGAAATAGCTTACCAACATATTGTGGGATAGTCTGCAGATAGTTCTCATGGTGGTATGGCACCACAGCATCATACAACTCAAATACCAGCCGAGTGGTATTGTACAATTTCTTACAGACTGTGTCTGAACACTGCACAGCTTGCTCCATCATTCCATACAGCAGATCCAACAACTCCTGAGCTGTCTTTGATATCATGCATCTCGGGAAGAAGAACAAACTCTTTGGGAAAGTCTTGTCAAGTATTTTTATAGCTTCAGCACCTTCCTCATCAGGCTTTATTTCAAGCAGGTCGTTAGGAACATGCTCCACTCCAATAGACATTGTAGCACTCAAATCTTTTAGCATAATTGTCCTGGCAGTCGTTAAAAAGTGCAAGCTTGCCTTATTTGCAAACAACACATCAATATTGTCTAAATATTGTAAAATTGAATAATCCTCATTACAGAACTTTACTAACACTAAGAAATTCTGGAAATCTTCAATTTCTGAAGTGATTCTTCCATAAGTCTGCAAATCATTTATATTGTTTGGTATGGTATCAAGCAGACAATCCTTTATGAGTATGTCTCTGAACTCTGTGTTGATCTCTTTACCAATCATTTTCATTATTGTGGTGTCTCTCTTGAAATCTACATTCAGTTTATTGTTCAAGTAATGGAACAGTAATCTTAAGTTAGATATGACAGCATCATACCTTTGTGTATAATTAGTTTTGTGCATTATAGTGACAGTCATTAGTTCAGGAGTTTCATCATAAACAGTCACCTCGGTGTGTATAATCGGTATCAGAACTTCTTTCAGTAGAAACTGAGCAAACTCTGATACTCTGTCTGCCAAAGCTCCGCTTCTGTCAAGTGCATTTAGAATATCAACTACAGCAAGAGACTCATCAAAGCACAATGTAATATTGATTACAGTTTTCCGAGTACCTGCCTTTATGTTCCATGTCATCATTCGGCTCCACTCAGTAAGCAAGTCAGTGAGTAATGTATCTTTAATTGAATTAGCAATAGATTTCGTGGTGTTGTACACTTCTAGATACTTAAATCCTTCGGATGGAGATTCAGAGTGTTGCAGGAGATCAAACACAGCTTCTACAGCCCTACTGAAGCTCTGTGATTCTTTGCTGTCTTCAATCTCTTTAACGAAATTCCCACAAAGGAGGACATCGTGAACTACATCAATAGCAAAATTAACTGATGTTAGCTCATGTTGTATCTCATCTCGTTTAGCCAGAGATTTCAGAACATCAGCCATTGTCTCTTGTTCTATCTCTAGTTTACACAAGTCCAATTCCTCAGCGAGGCTCTGTGTTTCATTACATAATGCCACACTCTCTTGGAGTATTGATGTCATGTCATATTCGGTAGATGCCAATAATGCTTTGAAGTCATGCTTCAATTGTTCTATTTCTTTGGATACAAGAGGAATCTTCTCAGAAGGTTTCCAATTGTTTTCAATATCATTAAATATATTTTTAAGAACATTATCTACATTATACTCCTCCATTTTAATGTTTTCTTTTGGATCTATCTTTTTTAATTGAAGGTTCTAGATGTTTTTCACGATTAGGGGATTTGTGTGAATGTGATCTGCGTGACCTGGAGTGATACTTATTAGAACTTACAGCATTACGCAAAGTGTTCACTAAAAAGCGCTTATTGGTTTTATTTTGAGGAGCCTTGACCCAACCAGACGGGCCAACTATTTCAGCCCTTGCAGCACCTTGAACTGCTTCTCTTAATAATTCTTCAACTGCTAATCTAAAATTGATATGCAAACCATTACTGTTTTCCTTCTTGTTTAAAACTAGACAATGTACCTCATTGGAAACGGTAAAATAATTAAATTGATGTTCAATAACTGAAGATTATTATTTGCTAGATTAAGAAACTACCTACATTTGGTCAATATATGGATCAATATCATAGTTCATCTATGAGTAGTTGCTAAATACTTTAGTGAAAAATAAAAACGAATAACTGATTCAGTTGTTATTTTATACGACAGGATAGGTCGAGAAAATAATAAACAATAAATAGCTCACTTTTCTAGGGCTTCATCGTCTAATGGCTCTTTTTCGGGTTCATTAGTAACATCTTCTTTCTCTGTCATAGTTTAAATTACAACTAATTATTAATGAACTACTACACTAACGTATTAATATAAATTAAAATCTACATAAGATATCCATGGATAACCATTTTCAATAAATTCTCAACCTACGAGAAAACAAACACGTATTTTTGACAGTTGCGAAACTGCGTTCAACAATCACGTTCTAAATTCGTCTGCCCTAATTATTTCAAGAAATTATGTACCTACATTACCACGTTATTTGTTAATTGTTTATTCTGTATTAATACATGCTGTACTTTCATGCCAAATTAGAAGTCACTTAACGTTGAATTTTATTTAATTACGAGACTTATAGTAAAACAATGAATGTTTCAATAACTGTACTTGTATTTTATTCCTGGCAATTATTTTGACTGCGTGGAGTGAAACGTCAGCCACGTACGAACGACTGTCACCGATCATCTCTCTACCGCTTAGCGAATTTGATTTTAGTTGTTTAATAATAAGCGTAAAATAAGGTAAGTTTAAATAAATTTAATCAAAATATTACAAATGATAAACTTTCTATTCATAAGTGATCAATTGAAATAGCGAGCAATTGTTTTTCATTCAAAATTGTTCATTTGGAATAGTAACATCTCCAACCTATTTTAGTACCGAATCTATATTTCCTATTTTCACTTTTCAGGCACAATGAGCGCAAAGCTGCTATCCTTGATCCTCATCATCGCGACTGCTGTAACAGCAGAAGATGAACCAGCGATCGCCAGGCTACTTGTTTCGAAGCAAGTGCTGAACAAATACTTAGTGGAAAATATGGATATTTTGGTTAAATACACGCTGTTCAACGTCGGTACTGCGCCCGCTGTGGACGTAAAGCTGGTTGACAACGGTTTCCATCCTGAAGTGTTCCAAGTAGTTGGCGGTCAGTTGACAGCACACATTGACAGGATACCTCCACAGACCAATGTCTCTCACGTCGTCACCGTCAGGTCTAGCAGATACGGTTACTTCAACTTCACATCTGCTGAAGTCACATACAAAGCCACTGAAGATGCCACTGAGGTAAGACAGCAATTACTTTCACTTTTCACTCATGTCCCATTTCAAGAAGCCGTGTTAATGAATGAAACAATGAATTTATTTTTGTAAAAAGGCCATTAAACAGCAGTTTTTTAACTGACAATATTATATGAATGGAAAAAATACAAAATGAGGCTGCATATGGTCAAATCTAAGCATATGGTGATATTAATGAGAGGTTCTTTCACTGCACTACATTACTGTAGTGTTAATAAAGAATAACTATTTGGGTTATAAGATCTTCATGATGAATTCAATAATTTTACTCTTCTCAAACAATTGAGTATAATTACTGTGTATTTTAGAGCTGTAAGATAAGTTTGAAAAGATATAATAAGGATAATTTTGGATGTTATATAAATAATACTGCCCTAGTCATATGCTTAACAAAACAACACTGGTTTATTCAATATCACTTATTTTTCATGTATCAAATAGAACATGTTTCTATTTGATACCGAGATTAAGACACTTAGGATTCCGATAATGCATTATAAGAAGCTAGCAGCCTTATAAATCTACTGAACCATTTAACTTCCAATCATTGATAAGTTATATTTGTTGTACAACAACTTAAACAAGTAAACCTATAAATAAATGGCAATACTTAAATTCATTTGATCAACATCACATCATCAGTGTTTTCTCTCATAAAGATGGAATTATCAATAAACACATGGCTTGCTTAAAGAGGACTGGCCATTTTTAAATTTACAATTACAAAAAAATAAGTCTAGCTTGCTCCACAATGTCATGGATGTGTCAGAGTTTTCTATATAAAGTTATATTAAATTTAATTTAAGTGTTCAACTCATATTGTTAATTAACCAGGACTGGAAGTGAATTATAAATGTCTACAAATGTTTTAAATTAAGACAACATAGTACTTCCTCAACTAACAATAAATAACTCTCATTCCAGGTCCAACAATCAATCAGCAGCTCTCCCGGAGAAGGTGCCATTGTTGCCTTCAAGGACTATGACCGCAAGTTCTCCTCCCACATCCTAGACTGGGCTGCATTCGCAGTCATGACCCTCCCATCTCTAGCCATCCCCTTCGGCCTATGGTACTCTTCCAAGAGCAAATATGAGAAACTATCAAAGCCAAAGAAGGCTCATTAGTTTGTAGATAGATAATTAGGTAACTGCTAATGTTGTCTGGAAGAGATGTGACTGATACAATTAAATTATTTATCATATTTTATTTGGAATAGTGTAGAATTAACGTAGTTGTAAGTTTAAAATTACAACTATTTAATTCTGTCCACTTTATAGTCATCACGAGATTTCAGAGTATGCCAATTGATTTGTTGAGTTTGTTTCCCAGTTGGTTGTTTAATGTATTTAATATCATCAAATAACATTAGCAATTATCTATTTCACTCCATTAGTTATGTACATCAACATCTTGTTAATATTAATTTATATGAACAATAAAAACTTTTTTATAAGTAATTATCTATTTCTCATCTTGAACCTGATGGTGGAATAAAAAGTGGTCAGTTTTGTTCTCCGTAAAAGGGTAGTTCCATAACCAAACCAAAATTATTCCAACTTAAAAAATCATTAACATAAAAGAGCCACTCAAAATTCGTGCATAGACTTGACTAGATAGAAACTACCCTTTTTATTTTTTGTCACAGGAAAATCATCAAATGACCTCTCCCGCTCAGGGTAAGGCGAGAGAGTGTCTGTCAGACTCTTACTGACTAAAATACCCTCGTTTGTTCTCCTGCTCTGGGTCGAGACCGCGGTGACTTATTGCGCGCAAGCCCAGCTGAACATCAGCCCTATAGGGCCTTGGCTGTGGTGGTCTATTGGCTCTTTGAGGCACGTGCGGAACGCTAGGCGCCGTCCGCTCGGGTGTGGATCTGGTCAGGCGGCGAGCAACCCTTACTCGCCGTCCGCAGACCCGCGCTTACAATGGCCGGAGATCGTCTCTCGAGTTAGAAACTACCCTAAGTGCTAGAAGAAGCATAGAGTCGAATAAATCTCATTTCTAAAGTGTATAAGTAGTTTTAGACTCCTAGACTTAATACTACACTAACGCCATGTTTGATTATGTCAATCCCTTAATAATCGAAGAAAATGTAAGTTATATTTGTATCTACATTAGAAGCAAGAATTTACTGAACACCTTTATTTATCGACGAACAATAAATCATAAGTTATGCATGTAATAGCGAATTAATTTGCTTTGTTATAAATAAACACGTAATTATGTAATCGTGTAGTTTGGTACCTACTAAGTAGTATGTGTACCTAAGGAACTAAGTAGTATGTATTATATAACAGTATTTCTATTTAAAACAGTAAGTACTTGCCCTACTTACCAAACATTTGGATTGGAATGCTATTCTATTTTCTTTTGCAATAATACTTTTACATAAGCATAAGTACTTTTTTGCCTGAAATGGATAAGCCGTATCTAGTTCATACCTAAGTCCTTGTTTGAACTGCCTTGTTCATCAAGTGACAATTATGTAAAAGGCAAGAAATTACTTCAGTTCTGTTTTATAAAATTTTTGTTTGTACCTAATAGTAGCTACAGGATGCCTGGTAGTGGGTTTACCCCTATTTCATAGACTACTATATACTATTTGACTGCACGGTTGGTTCCACAGTGTATCTTGTAGGTATTATATAGGGTTGGTCCGGTGCTGGGAAACTGGCTGCCGTGCAACCTGTCGTGGGTCGATTCTCGCACGTAACAACGCTTTGTGTGATCCACAAATTGTTGTTCCAGGTCTAGGTACCTAGACCCGGAACACAATTTGTGTACTTACCTACTTATGTCTTTTTTTTTGTGATGGGAAAATCATCAAATGACTTCTCCCGCCCAAGGCCGGGCAAGAGGGAGTGTCAGACTCCTACTGACTATAAACCCCCCTGTTCCTTCTCCTGCTCTGGGCCGAGGTCGCGATGCCTCATTGCGCTTACCCCGCAACCCCGGCTGAACATCAGCCCTATAGGGCCCCGTCTGTGGTGGTCTATTGGCTCTTTGAGGCGCGCGCGGAACGCTACGCTCCGTACGCTCGGGCCTGGTTCTGGTCGGGCGGCGAGCTGCCCTTACTCGCCGACCGCAGACCCGCTCTTACGGTGGCCGGAGATCATCTCTCGATCCCCGACGCCCGGAATGTCGCCTATTGGCGGCTGAGGCGTGAGGAGGAGGATTGCTCCCTCACGCGGGCCGCCTCCCTCTTTGCGAGCATAACTGCTTCACAGAAGGAGGAGACGGCGTCCCAGTTCCTCTCACTCCGCACCATGGCCTCGACTAAGGCCGGGCGCGAGAGGTCGCCGCCGCATTGTGGACTATGTGAAATTGTATGTTTGTATCCGAACAAGAAAATATTCTGTGGGGGTTCTTTAAAAAAAAGGCATGCTTTAGAGTTAAGAGTCGATTTTCACTCCACAAAAAAGTATTTTTTTATGTAGGTAATTGGTCGGCAAACGAGCAGACGGATTACCTGATGGTAAGCAATCAGCGCCGCCCATGGACACCTGCAACGGAGGAGTTACGAGTGCGTTGCCGACCTTTTAGGGATTTGGAGGTTTAGGGATTGAGGAGGGATTGGGGGCGGGGAAGGATTGGGCCTCCGGTAACCTCACTCACACGGCGAAACACAATGCTATGGTTGTTTCACGCCGGTCTTCTGTGAGGCCGCGGTATCACCCCGGTCGAGCCGACCCATTCGTGCCGAAGCATGGCTCTCCCACACTTAAGTTTTAAAGTTTATTTATTTATTATGTACGAAAACCTTCATAAGGCGCCTAGCTGTTGGAAGAGAAAGAGTAGAAAATGTGGCAATAAAACTATCCACAACTCTTATACCTAGGTACTTAATCCTGCTCCGGCGTCCTCATGGCGCACCTTGCAATGCCTGTTACGGCACGTTCCTAGGAAAAAGTTAGGAACCAGATTTCCTAATCATGCTATGGGTTCCAATAGAATCAATAGATGCTATAAAGTCAAAGCAATATAAGGTAGACGTAGACGTCCCAACATTCGAACCCGTGCCTACAAATTGGGGACGAAACCTAAAAGCTGATAAAAAACAAGCAACTCGCAGCCGTATTTTGACTCACAGCTAGACTCAGCTAGATATTTTTTGTATTTGAAGGAAAAGTGTAGTTGTTACAAGAATGTATAAATATGTTCCAACACAACTATCCGCTAGTAGATAACGTTATTGGTCAAACAACGGAGCTTAGTTGAAAATTAATCGTTGGTCAACGATTAGTCGTATGCCACGAGCACCACTAGTTAAGAGTTTTGTGCAAACGCCACTAGATGGCGCTGATGTTTAATACAATTAGGTAATGAGTTTTATGGAGGCAATGATAATGCCAACTTGCCAAGCCCAAGGTCGCCCTAACAGTTGCTAAAACATTGGTATTAATTTAAGTGAAACCTTAACGTAAACCGGACGTTACAATACTCTGTGCCGATTTACTTAAAAGAATAATTGACTACTGCGTGTCATTCATAGATTCAACTCCTGCGCAATAGCAAACATTGGAAATTATTTTCCTGTCTTTGTTGTCTTAAGGATGGAGCTTTATGTGTTCGGGATTCTAAACACTACTAAACAGCTTAGAATAAGGTAAATGTTGGTATGATTGAACGCATTCGCCCACTATGATGACATTGACCGCATCAAAATACCAATTTACTTAACTATGTAAAAACGTCTGTTTCAATTTGTCGATTTTTTGGAGAGGCATAATAACTATGACTGCTCATGAGAGAGGGAGTGACAGACTGTTACCAACTAAAACCTACCCCTACCTTTTGTAGCCGGGGTTGCGGGGTAAGCGCAGTAGGTAAGGCACCGCGGCCTCTGCCCAGAGCAGGAGAAGGAAGGGGGGTTTTCATTCAGTAAGTGTCTGACACTCCCTCCCGCCCGGCCCTGGGCGGGAGAAGTCATTTGATGATCTTCCCCTCACAAAAAAACGTTACCTTTCTCCTGTTCCAGGCCGATGCAATGGCGCGGTGCATTACCTAATTGCGCTGCATCCGCAACCCCGGTTGTTCATTATAAATTACTTCCCTAAGTGTCATTAATAAGTCACTTGATACTGCCATAGGAACTCGCGGTAGTTATAATTATTTTTTTTCCAATAAACAGGTCCATTAGAACTTCACAACAACGACCACAAAAGTTTAAAAGCACAGAGCAGCATGCTATGATTTTGAATCTTTAAGCATTGTGCTTTTTCATAATTCTTATATTTAAACCACACGTTTTTTTAAGGTAAAGGTTTTGTACACTTAGTTCTATTTGTTATAGATGAACCAAATTGCAATTAGGTAACCTATCTATCCTTTCGAAAGTAAATCTATCAAGGAGAGATATCTGACCCACCTTAATTCATTATACTGTTTGGAAAGCAAATAGCAAAACTATCATACTGGTAAGATTATTACATTTTTATTAATAATAGGTACTTAGAGTAAAGCGGTATATGTAGCTATTTTTTTTTTTAACTTGTAAGTAGGTATATCTACCTACCTATGAAACGATGACATCACATGCCAGATTCCAATGATCAACACTGCATTACTTACTGGTTTCTCATTAAATAACGCAAAATAGAATGGTGACCCACTTTTGTTATGCGTTTCTATTACTTTGCAAAGTGTAACAAATTCATTCGACTCGACTGTCCTATCTCAGGCGATGACACAATAAATGAATGACCTTCTAATTCCAATAAAGTGGGAGTGATAAATATGACTCAGAACGCACTGTTAGAACTTTATAACAAGCTCTTTACTTTACATTATAGAAATTGTAAGGATTCACACATTCATCAAACAGTAACTAGCTAGGTACTTACGTATAAAAATAGTGAGGTACCTAAGTGAAGTACCTACCTAGACAGCAACTATTTTAATTTTTTGGCGAATATCAAATGGTTTTTCTTGACCTGGGGTGGGCGAGAGAAAGGGTCAGGATTACTGACTAAAACCACACCATTAATTATCCTGTTCCGCAACCCAGGCAAAAGAGACATAGGCAACTGGGCACTAAGGTTCTTATCTATCTGACTAGGGATTCTTATTACAACAGACATAAAGAACAAAAACACCGAACAGTTAGGTAAAGTACAGTTTAAGTACGTGAAAACTCTGAGCACCGCCGTGTCCTCAGGGAAGTGATCGGCGGCGGTGACATCTCGGCCCCGCCTTAGTCGTGGCCAAAGTGC